AATTGTGCGATTATTATGGGACATGTGTGATGTGTGCAGGTCAACCCAATTCCGATTTCGACAATTGTACCTGGATTACGAACATTTGCTTCTCATTGATCTCTTTGTCTTTGTCGTCTGAGTCACCATTGTGCGTGTTGGTTTGGTCATCATTATTGTCATCGTCACGAGAATGACCTGGTTGGTTCGAACAACCCGAGGTTTGATCATCAGCACCCCGAGGATATCCAGTATGTGTAAATGAACTAGGGACTGCTTGATGTGAATATGGGGCCTCGTGAGAAAATGCAGAACTACCAACACCAAAAGAACTCAGAAATACACCTTGGGACGCCATCATTTGCGTGAAGCTTTGTTGTTGCCGTCCCCAGAATCCCTACATTTACTCGCTTCTTCAACTCCACGTAAATGTTGGGATTTCTTTGTTCTTCAATCAGCTCTAAGATATCCTCACTGGATTCGATTTTCATCTTCACAACTCGTTCTCTTCCATCAAATACTGCCCACAATATGTACTCAAAATTACAAGGATTGGCCTTCAATAAGGCTTGAACACGAAAAACTACTTCAGAATACATTTATCGGCTGTAATTTATTCTCATCAGCTCTGCCACTCCACCAAGATATGAACCCTCGTAAAACGAACCACCAAAGTGCACCAATACTCTAACACGGTTGCTAGCCATTCAAATAAGTGAACAACAAAAAGAACTAAAAAAAAAAGAAACAGAAAAATGCAGTAGATGAATGGTGCAGGCGTTAAATTGTTAGAGATCGCTGTTTTTTTGCCTGCATGATAAATGCAGAGACCAAATCCTCACCTGTGAAAAAGCAGTCAATTAATGAGGTGCGCAACTTATGTGAAAGATCTGCGAACGAATTCTGAATAGTCGTAAAATTGCCAGGTCGATATGGCCCTGCGAAAAAATGGCGCATAATCGTAAAAAAAAATGCTTTATTCGATTTGGTTATGCGATTCTTAAATATACGAGCGAAAAAATGTCACATAATTGTCAATTATCTGGAGGATATATGCGAAATTGTTTCGCATATTAGTAAATTATGCTATTGACTTGGATATGCAATTACCAGAAAATGCGTATCCAACAAACTATGCGAATTAGATGCGAAATATTTTCGCAGTCATAAATTTGCAAGGTTGATATAGCACTGCGATAAGAAGGCGCATAATCATCGTAAATTATGCTGCAATCGATTTGTATATGCGATTATTAAAAATGCGAAAGATGTTCGCACATTTTTAAATTATGCGTTTGATGTGGATATGCGATTAAAAAAATATACGAAATGTTTACGCATTGTCATAAATTATGCGGCCGATTGGATATGCGCTGGTTCATTTGGACATGCGAGTGTAATGTCGCATAGCATTTCGTGAGTTTTGGGGTGTAAAAGAAGTTATTTGATGGGACGGTGTGTAAAAGAAAGAATAGATTTATAATGGTGTGTAAAAGTTTGAGCAAATTATGAAATAATCTTGAATTTTTAAAATGAAACATAATTTCAGATTTTTTGAACAAAACAATATTTTGGATCTTTTAAACAATTTCCATAAGTAGTAAGTCAAATGGATTGACTCGATTTTGTTTGAACTTTCCACAAATGATTTATTAACCATCCTCTTTCAATATATATAGATAGATTTTCGAAATTTCAATTAAAGAAAAATAATTGCAATTCAACGACAAACTTCTTATGGGTTTGTCTTTTATTTGTCACTACTAAATGTTGGTCGAGAAAAAAATTTAAATTGTAATTTGTCGCGTTGCGACGAACAACCAGTCCCGTTTCATTTTGATCATTGTTACAAGATAGATGATGATGCACTGGACTAACAAACAAAATTATCAATAACAATTATATGAGTTAATGGAATAAAAATTCCCATTAACAGCAAAACATGTGAGCATCTATCTCACAATTCATCTAAATTTACTCCAAGAAACTCTTATTCCCAGCATCTCTAACACTGAAACTTTACACATACAAAAAATAACTGAATATATTCTATCTGACACTGAGAACCTCAACATTCGCTGCAAATTTGAAGGAAAAACAACTCTGTGGGGGAGCTATGAGGCAGTTGTAAGGTAGTGAATCTCTCTATCGCTTACCGGCATGAATCCAACTCTCCTCTGCAAACATCGAAACGAACAAATTAACGTCCCTTGCTTTCAATTAATTTTCATTTACACAAAACTCTAAACATAATTTGGGGATATGCTACGTTAAGGAACCATTAGTTTATAACCGTTAGATCAACTATCTCCGATGGTTATATGATGATCTAACGGTCACAAACCCAACGAAATGATTCCGTACGGGAAGTAGCATTTCCCCATAATTTGATTTCCCAAACTCTTGTTTCCATTATTTTTTTGGTTTTTTTTCATTTTTATTACTCACCGCAGTGGCATTTTTTAGTTCACTTTTTATCTTTTTTAAATCAAAAGCAGTAAAAAAAAAAAACAGAGAACTAACCTCCCGAGTAGATTTGACGAGCCTTCTGACGTCCCCACCATCGCCATCGGCGCCGCCTTTCGCGGCCATGTAAAATTTAGCGATTTTCTCTGCCACGTCGGCCCCGTCCTTGCTCTCCGCCATCAGCCTCTCAACCTCCGCCTTGGGCAGCCGCATCCTCACCCTTACCCCGCCGTTCTCCTCCATGTCCGCCGCCGAGATCGCCGCTGCCGCCACGTTGGACAGATCCGAGGCCGATCGGCGCGACAGCATGAGGCTCTCGAGCCGGTCCTTGGCGCTGATCTGAATCCCAGATCTGACCCTCCTCGCGCCGACCCTGTTCTCATCATCCTTTGGCATCGGGACCAGGAAATACACCCCACCCGGCTTCAGCTCCTGCTGCGGCTCAAGCGGCTTGGCTCGCAAGCCCTGATGCCTAACCGCCTCCGACTCCAACAGGACGTGACCCGGACACGCGTCGAGGATCGACCCGGCCCGAACTGGGGTCTTTATCTTTTGTGTTTCGCCGCTGATTTTCATTACTTTTGCACTCTTTTTCCCTCCCAAACTGTTGCCCATTTTTACTCGGATTTTGTGCTTCCGCTTTTTTCTTGTTTTATTCTTTTTTTTTCTTTTTGTTTTTCTTTTATTTATGTGATTGTATGAATATTTAAGCTTGTTAAAGAGATGGAATTTAATGAAGTTGTTATTTGGTAAGGGTTTATATTTATATTGGGTCAAAGAGAGATGAAATATTGAAATTTTGGGAGTACGTTTGACAAATAAATTCAACCAACGAAATTGGGAACTTAATTTGCACCATATTAAAGCCCATAATGGTGGGGAAGTTTAATTAATAGTTTTAAGACCTAATTAAGGTCAATTGTGAACTAGATTGCAGTGTTTATTTGCATGCCAACAACCATGCCATTGAATATATAATTGTTAGGCAAAATATTATATTTTTGCATTGATCAAATATTTATTTTTTGTTTATTTTATTATGTAATACTTACGATTAATTAATAATAAAGTCACATTAAATGATTTTTTATTCTAATTTTTTATTTCAGAATATTTATTTTTTTTAAAAAAAAAATATCAGCTTGTTAAGCAAGGGTTTATTAAAATGAGTTGGTTATTTTTTATGGCAAAACCAAACTCTATAAAATTCCGTACATAATTGTTATAATAATAATAATAATAATAATTTTAATATTTTTTTTATCATATTAATTGTCATAATCCGCAAAATTATATTATTGCGATCAATATAAAGATTCAATATGTGAGTTAAATATTTCATATTTATATCGTTCAATTTACTAAGGATAAAATTATAAAACGTGGTATGTTCTTTTTTTTTTTTTTTT